GTGTTTCTAATCTCTATATATCTGATTATTACTAGTCACAGTCAGTTACTTTCTGAGCTCCTTGGCATCTGAGCATGGATAGAAAGTCATCAGGTAGATTTCAATGATAATGTTTTTCACATCTATTAATTATTGAGCAAAATTTTATGCTTTGAAGAATTATTAATTTTTAATCATTATATCTATTTTTTTAATTTTTAATAAAAAATGTGGAACGCCTCACGAATTTGCGTGTCATCTTTGCACAGGGGCCATGCTAATCTTCTCTGTATCGTTCCAATTTTAGTATATGTGCTGCCGAAGCGAGCACATATTTTTTTAATTTACCCCTTTATGACCCACTTGCATCCTCTTTTCTCTCCTCTTTCCCCATAGCCCCTTTTTTACTTTCATGTCTTTTTCTTTAGCATTTCAAAGTTGTCAGTATTTACATGTCATCTTTGCACAGGGGCCATGCTAATCTTCTCTGTATTGTTCTAATTTTAGTATATGTGCTGCCGAAGCGAGCACATATTTTTTTAATTTACCCCTTTATGACCCACTTGCATCCTCTTTTCTCTCCTCTTTCCCCATAGCCCCTTTTTTACTTTCATGTCTTTTTCTTTAGCATTTCAAAGTTGTCAGTATTTACTTTTGGTGCATTTGTAGAACGAAACCATACAGAATCATTTAGCTACAAGTTATATTTCTATATTGTTTAATTCTCTAGGTCTATGCCATGAAACACGAAAGTCACCAGCCACTGGTACATTTAATATATGAAATGGCTAAACCAGGAACTAAACAGAGGCAGCTGCTCAGCCCTGCAGCCAAGAGAGACTCCACCTGGGGATCTCCCAGTCACTCTGAATTTGGGGATGGATGGGCTTTTCAGACTTTTTCTATAGACACATTTGCTCTAATTTCTATTTCTGGTCCCTGGCTCCTGGTAACCTCTGCTGGCTCTGTTGACATCTGTCAGCTCTCTGGCTCAGTAACTTATGTCAAATTACCTTTTTCTCTTTGTTTTAATAATGATTCCCTTCTATGTTCCTCCCCAGGAGCCGAAGAAAGGATGGGAGGAAGAAGCAAAACCCCTCTGAGGCAAAGTCTTAGATTTTTGAAAGAATCTATTTTGGACTCACTTTAAAATCCATTCATTTTGATGAATATAATCTAGCGAGTGTCTGGAGCCAGCCCAGTACATTTGTGAAGGTTCTCGGCTTCATCTCAGTACTCGCGGAGAGACAATAATTCCACACTTGGCAGCATAATGAGATTTATTTGCACACTGTCCCCGGGTCTTTCCATAGAATGTGCTTGTGGGGGAGAAGGGTTATTCAAGTGCCATCATCCCACTTCCCTGATTTCAGTAAATGTTTGCTATTTGAGGGATTTCTCTATGTATGTGTCTCACAGAGTTTCTTTGCTTTGTGATGTGTTCTCCTCTTGGGAGGCTGGCAGTGTAAGTGGTTGACAAAAAAGCTAATAAATCCGAGGTTAATAGGGCTCTAGACAGCAAAGTACACAGAATAAAAAGTCTCACTAGATGCTGCAGAGTATTGTTGAAGAAGGCACTGTCAACATGGTGCCTGATTATTGTGAAGGGCAGGACAGAGCTCAGTAAAATTCCAAGTCCATTTTCACTTTGCCTAGGTCGTACTGCCCAAGCATGTGCCTCTCCCTGGAGAAGTGAAGTTGGAGAGAAAGGAGCCAGAGAAAGATGCAATTCTCTGTGGGATTTCAGTCTAGCTTGGATTTAGAGATAATTTGTGTACATGGAACATAGAACTGGAAGTGGTCACACTCAGATATTACACAACACACTGCAAATGTTCTTATAAAGAGCTGCATGGCGGAACCTTATGAATTTGTGGAAAATTGAAATTTGTGTGGGGTTGGCTGTGTGTGTGTGTGTGTGTGTGTGTGTGTGTGTTGAATGTATGGTGTATGCACATACACAGAGGCCACAGGATGAGGTTTGATGTCCTGTTCTATCATGCTCCTTTTTATTCCCTGGAGACAAAGTCTCTCACTAAACCTGAAGCTGGGCTGGCAGCCAGCAGCTCCTAGCCATCTTCCTATCTCCATACCCCAAAGCACTGGGGCTCTAGGCAGAGCATGTCTGTGCTCATGGGTGCTGGGGATTCAAACTCAGGTCTTCATGTTTGTGGAGCAATTGCTCTTACACTCTGAGCCCTCTTCACAAGTCGTTGTGTGGGCTTTGAAATTCAAAAATAATTCAGATCCTCTCCCAGCCTTCAGAGCAATCAAGTACACTTAAATATCAGTCACTCATGGCTGCACAGCATAGGTAACAGGGCTAGTTCATGCAGCTCCTTTAACTGCCGGTGCAGACAGTGACTATCATTGCAGTCACCACTTCATATCCTTCAGTTTGTTCCTCTGGTAAACTGAGGGAGATGCATTGCTGAGGACCTAGAGGTGACTTGCTGGTATGGAGGGAGTTCTTTGACTTCTGAGCAGGTCATCTGTGACAGAGGCAGAGTTTTGCACAGCCTCCAATCTGTGAAAGGGTAGGGAGCTGAAACATTATATATTTGAGCAGAGTCAGAGGAATAGCCTCCGGTACCCATCTGACACAGCGACACGGTTATTGAGATCAGCTGCCCTCTGACAGTGCAGGAATTCGTCACAATGAAAAAGAATAGGTGTTTATTTTAAAATAATATATCAGGAAACAAGATAAGCCAAGACTTCCATGTAAATTACAAGTCTAAAAATTTATTGGGTAGGAAATTTGTGTCAAGGTTATTTTTAGGTGTGGCAGTAGTCATATCCTCTAGCAGTTCTACCCACGAACAACTCATCGTCTCCTGGGTGTCCCACTTTGGATAAGACCCTGGTACAAATGTGTAGGGAGACAAGTAGGAAAGATGTGACCACATCCTTGGGAGTGACATCCTAGACCACATAAATTTCTTTAGGTACCTCATGGAGCCAGAGAGAGAAGAAAGGCAAAGTATTGCCGAGAAATAATCCAGCACCCTTAGCTCTGGACAGCTCTCCAATACATGACTGGAGCCCACTTCTGGCCTTTAATTCATTGAATTATAACTCTTCTTAGCTCCCCTTTTGGCTTATGCCAGTTTAAATGAATATCTGTCATTTATTTTTTTTGAGAGAAGCCAGACACAATTATAACTAACAAAGGAAAATGAATATGCATAAAATTGAAGTAGAAAGAATCCTTCCTTTTCCAATTTCCATTTTCCTGTCTGTGTATGTGTGTGGATTTTTTTATTTTTTTATACTCATTATTTTAAGCTGGACAATGTACCTCTGATCTACCTTCCTTTCCTTTGTAATTTTGTCTAATTTCCTGCCCCTAATAATTATGCCCATGCAGATAAGTTCCAATCCTTTATCTCTCATTTTGGCCTTTCATGCACATTAGAATATACTATTTCACCATGTGGTGGAAGTCAGTTCCCTCAGTATTGGTCTATTGACTATTCATGTACTAGTTTATACATCACATGATCTGTAGCTCTCTCTGAAGACCTCAAATCCTGTATGTCTGGTTCCCACATGTTCCTGTCAGTTTAGCCACTATATTCCCAAATGTTTTTGTTCACCTCATCCTTCTCTTTTCCTCCTTTTCAACTGTACTCATTGTGGAAATAATGTCTCTGTCCTTGAACTTCCTACACTGTTCTTTTCATGTGGTCTAACTCATTCAATATTAACCACCATCCAAGATGTATACAAGCATCCAATCACCACTGTTTAACATATGAAGTAACTGAGGCATAACCATCACATAGTCCCAAATTTATGCTGTTAGTAAATAAGAGGTCTAGGATTCAGACCTAAGCAGCCAAGTTACAGGAAGCATGTTTTTTCCTTTTAAACAATTACTTAAATTTGTTTTTAGGCAATCCTGCACATATGTATGATGCACATCGACCACTCTCACCCCCACTACAGCCCCTATCTACAGCTTAGCCTCCTCTCCACAAATTTTTCTCTCATGGGCATGTCTACCCATTTTGTTTTGTGACCCACTGAGATTAACTAGACCTGTCTGTGTGAACACAGGTTTGAAGCTATTCATTGTTGGACTCAGCAGAGGGTACACAGCTAAAGACAATGGTCCTCCCTCTCCCAGAATCTATCAATAGCCAATAGTTTTAGAGGTAAGGAGCTGGGTCCTGTGAGCCTCTCCCACTTCCTTGACTGATTATTTTTGGGCTGACCTTGTGTGGGCTCACTGCAGGTGATTATAGTTGTTGTGAACTAATGATTAGGAAGCATGTTTTTAACTGGTTTCTTTTTTTTTTTGAGTTGCTATTTTATTTTATTTTTTAAGGATCTCTCTATTTTATGTACATGAGTGTTTTTCCCACATGCATGTATGCACACCATATATATGTGTCCTCAGAGGCTAGAAGAGGGGATTGGGTCTTTTGGAACTGGAGCCATAGAAGACTGCACCGAGAGTACTGGGAACTGAACCTGGGTCCTCTGCAAGAGCAACAAGTACTCTTAGCTGCTGAGCCATCTCTCTAGCCCCAGAAGCATGCTTTTAAACCACCATTCCATAATTCCTAAATATCTTCATGGCTTTATGTCTAGTAATAAAGGTGCTGCTGGAGTAGGCCTTTCTGACTCTAATCTTGGGTGAATATATCTGTCTAATTTTCTTTGGTTCATATATACTATCTACTAGAATGCCTTGTACCTTCTAGAAACTCAATATATTTTGGATGAAGAATTGATTTCCTTATATTGCTATTGTATCACTTTTAGTTGTTTAGTTGCCCCTGAATTTAACTAAACAATGTATTAGTGGATGATCAATATGTTCAAAGTCTTAAGAAGGGGTGAGCCACGTCCTATGCCTCTTTCCTGCTACCCCCCAGCTCCTCCTGGCTGAAGAAAAAAGTGGAATTGGTTTGACATAAAAAATCTTGTGTGCTGCTTCTAAACAACTTAATAACCTCCAAGATTTTACAAATTGATCTTTTCATTAATGAATTGCCCTAGAAACTTTCAGATTTGAGAGTCAGACTAACTGTTCCATAATTCATGAGTTAGGACCAGTGCTCTTGTTGTAATGCAGGATGAACTGATTAATTTTTTGGACATTTTGGCAAATCTGATCTGGATGACTAAGTCCCTGGCCTGTTTTAAATCTTATTTCTTAAGTCCTCTGGTAGGCATTCTATTATGTCTCTGACAATAGTGGTCTTTGTAATGCAAACTGAAACAAAACAGGCATTAAGCATGTCAGTGTTATCCAACCATTATTCATTTCTCTTCCTACTAGGATGTGGGTCTACCCTTTATTTTGACTGTAGCTGAAATATGTTTCCTGGTTGCTAAATGTTACATCTGCTTTGCTGAGTTGAACTTGTGTATCAGGAGCATATGTGTACTCTGTGGCTTTGGATGATAGAATTCAGATTCATTTATTATTTGAAGGTTGAAATTTGGAGATTATTTACGATAGCAAAATACTCGCAAGCATGACCTTTGCCTTGTTCATGAAGAAAGGCTAGTCATAG